TGAATTTTTCCATTCCATTTTGGGACAGCTGTCAAAGATTGTTTTGGCTTGTAGATAAGCCTTCGCAACCTTAAATAAAAGCTCCTTTGTAACTTTGAGTAACCGCAGCTGTCAGGGTGGTTCCGTTTTGTCATCAAATCTTGAGCCGGGACAATTTCAGTTGTGGAATTGTTCACACCATTTTGTCACACCACTCTGAAAAGAAAGGGTAAACTGCTTGGAAGCCCACCCCTCCTTTGAAAACTTGACTGCTTTAAAAGTCCAGGTCATGAATTCACACAGCTGAATTCTGTAACTCAATTTCTGCACAGGTATTAAAAAACCCGTCATGGCTTTGAGATTAGCCTGTCAAGCATTTTAATGGTCCTTTGAATCCCTAAGGCATTTGAAGTTTCGTTTTTCTACACTTTTGCGCTGCTTTCCAACGTTAATTCAAGGCCTTGACCCGCAGAGTCCTCCTCTCGATGGTGTTTTAGGTCAGCTCAAGGTTGTTTTAGTTTTAATAGGAGTCACAGCATTGTTTGTATTGTATGTTAAAGAACATATTGTACATTGTGTCTATTGACAGTTTGTTTTTGTAAAGTCAGCTAATCCCCCTCGAGAAAAACAAGACATCCCACCTTTTCCTTTTTGGCATCTGTTCAACAGTCTCAGGAAGCGTTCGGCCAAAACTCTCCGGCAGCAAGAGCGTAGCCAGGACTGACAGCATCGCCAGAGTGCCCAAGGTGATATAAGGCAAATACTTGAAGTAGATGTCTGTGTGGTGTGACACAAAGGTAGTGACAGAGACCCCGTCATAATGTCAAAGTCATACTGAATGTTTGGACCCCCCCAACAAGCGCTTACTCAGCTGTATGATAAAGGGCGCAATGCAGCTTCCCGTTCGTGACACCATGACGCAGATCCCGGATGCCGTGTTCCTCAGGTTCGTCGGATACAACTCGGCCGTGAAGGCGAACAGCAGCGACGTTCCTGCCGTGGCGCCAAACTTACCCAACATCTCCAAGGCCACGGCCAAACCCAGGATACCTTAGGTTGAAGTGTGATGACAACAGCCCAAGCGAGAACCTTCCTGGTTTTGAACTACAATGCGGTGTAAAATGGCTGATGCAGCCCGACGCAAGATGGCTGAAAGAGCACGACTGCTTTTCAACTATACCTCAGTGCAATATGAATGATGTTGTTTTGATCCAGACCCTACACAAGATGGCTGTAGGCGCCTTTCTGGATTTTAATTACACCTGAGCACGAGCTGACAAAGGGCGCTCAACTGGCTGAGACATGTACCTTGCACAAAATGGCTGCTCAACCCATATTGGTTAAGACTGTTGAGGGAGCCCTACTACTTTTGAATTACGCCACCTTAACTCCTTCCGGTTTTGAGTTCAACTCTTTGGCTTTGGTGTGACACTTACTCTGAGGGACCAGCTGAATGGAGAAAAGCGCCAGGCCCATGGTGAGGAAGACCGCCGCCACGGCGAGCCGTCGCGGCAGGTAGCGGATGGCCAAACTGCAGCTCAGGTACGCCGGCACCTCCACCACGGCAGACAGGAAGCAGCTGATGTACGGATCCGAGTGCAGCTGCGACGTGTTCAGGGACAGGCCGAAGTAGCAGACGCTCAGCGAGAACCTGCCGACAAGCCAGTTTGCTCTCAAAACAGGGTTGTAATTGTCCTACTCGTTTGATACGTGTGAACTCACCACACCCAGCAGAGAAGGATGAGCGTAATAGCGAGGCGTCTTTTCTTCACCAGCTCCAAAACAGCGGAGGACTTTACTGGCCTCTCCTCATCCGTCTACAAAGTACAACGGGTGTTAGCCTGAATAGCCCCCAGCAACTCTGCAATTTGATGTTACCATTTTTAGATTTAGCACAGTTTTTTTTTT